CCAAAAATATAATATAACATAATATATTCAAATAATATATGACAGCTGGGATAAGCTCCAGCGTCCCCTGCGACCCTGAAAAGGATAAGCGGAAGCGAATGGATGGATATATTCAAATGGCTTTTTAACAGAAATAGCAAGGGTGTAACTGCAGGTTTCTCTCAAGAACAATACTGCCAGATTAGACTTTGGACAAATGATAGTCAAAATAAAAATCGTGCCTGAATGATAGGAAGAGAAAAGTATGGAGAAGGGGAGAAACAGCTATTGATCTGAAGCACACCACATCATCTGTCAGACAGGGTGGAGACATTTTACGGCATGGACACGTATGGCTGCCAGTGAAACTGGGCCACTAGTGTTTTTGATGACGTGACAACTGATAGAAGCAGCAGAATCAATTCTGAAGTGTACAAGACTATATTCTCTGCTCAGACTTAGACAGATGCTGCAAAATTGATTTGACAGTGCTTCACATTTCAGGTGGATAATGAGCCAAAAACATACTGCAAAAGCAACCCAAGAGTTTCTCAAGGCAAAGAACTGAAATATTCTTCAATGCCCAAGTTAGCCCCTTGATCTCAACCCAATAGTGCATGCTCTTCAGTTACTGAAAATACATACAGGAGGCAGGGACGCACAAACAACAACTGCAGGCGGCAAAAGAATAAATAAATAACATTGTCCAAATCACTGACTAGGCACCACTAAAGCAGTAAACAAGGTTAGAAACCATGAGGATTAAAAAGACTTACTTTATTGAGAGGGAAAGTCTGAACCACGTTCATCTGAACTCAGTGGCACGTAGAATGTTTTCCTGTCAGAAACTGACTGTTAACACAATAAGTATTTACATGGATAGTTGGACATAAAGGCCACTATCATGAAATGAGCACAGCTGGTGACCGCTCCACAACAATTTATACAGGTTTTGCTACACACTTATCCCATTGCCACAAGATTTACCATAGTCAGTGCACAGTTCCAAATGAAAAAGCCACAAGACTATCGACAAAGTTAAACATTGCATCTGGAGTTGGTTTACTCACACTCTGATAATCATATGCCTCTGCTTCAGCATATTGACAAAATGCATCCACCACCCTCCTGTTATCCCTTCAATTCTGTCTCAGTAAGCTGACAGCAGGCTGCTGTGTACGTCTGCACTTCTTGTACCAACATACACAAACACACCATTGCATAATACGTTATCCGAGGTGAGATGATTCACTGAGGCTGTGTATGTGGACTGTGGCCTTGTGCTGACCCAGCGGTTTGGGTACACTGTTTTGCATGCAGCAGTTAAAGAGAGACAGCACAGACCGCCTATACTGCTACAGACAGGTAAGTGGGGTCAATCAGATAAATCTGGTAGTTTTGCATCTCTATATCAATAATGGAATCTTGATTATTTGGAAATCATGCACATATGAAAAGAGATCACAGACAGGAGCACTTTAAATGCAATTCAAATTAACTTATTCACTGCCAGCCATTGGCAGTGAATGAGTTAAACCCATTGACTCATTCACTGCCATTGACGGCTATAGACGTCAATGGCAGTGAATGAGTTAAAAACAGGAGGGATGGAATGAGTTGCCAAGTTTGGGGGCGTTCCTGACCCTAAAGCCCATCTCACAGGGCATTTTACAGCCTTCCTACACCACAGTTGGTTCCCCTTTGCCTGCAAAGGCAAAGAGAGCCAAATGGGGCTTGAATGCCTCAGGAGACTGTAGTCGCAGTGTTAGCAACAAAAGAGCTGCAGTCAACTATTGAAAGTGATCCACAGATCAAGACACATGCAGGCAAACTTAAGGTCTTACTGCTTAATAGCAAAATAAATACTTTTTTTGGAAGTAATCAGTTGCAACTAGTGTTACACTGTTGGAAATAGTTTTTTTTTGATGCACATGCCGTTTCTTTGCAGCAAGTTGGGAAAAGAAAAACTATAGCCAGCCGAAGATACAGTCTTTCACACAAGGCCCTTGTGAGAAAACGTCCCAGCGCCATAAACAAACCACAGGAGCAATCTCGCGTTACATTTGTAAAGGCATGATCCCTGTTTATGTAGTTGAGAAGGACAGCTTTCGTGACCTCGTCAAAGTCCATGATCCGAGGTACGTAAGCACTTCAGTAAAGTCGAGTTGCCTTGCTTGTATGACGCATGCCGGGCCAAAGTAGAGAAGGATGTTTGCAGTGTCGTGCATTATGCCTTGACGACTGACCTATGGATGAGCAGAGATACGCAGCCCTACATGAGCGTAACCATCCATTTCATTAACAAAGACTGCACCCTCTGCGCTCGCTGTTTACAGACTGCGTACTTTCCCGATGACCACAGGTCAGGTGGTATATCGTGATATAAAATAATTCATATCGTGATAAATATGTTTTCCATATCGCCCAGCACTAGCTGAAACTAATGAAAGCTTGGCTCATAGACCGTTTCAAGACAGGAAAATAGAGACTACAGGATGATCATGACATCCCCAAAATAAAACCAGTAAACAAATATCCTAAGTAGCTGAACATTTGGGTGCAGCTCTACAAGAGTAATTTTCATTCATAGGAGTTTGTACTTCTATACACACTGTGCCCAGCTTCTGTGAAAAGTACAGAAGCGTAGGTGGAAACTTTCTCCAAGAGGAGCTCTTTACACCACATCCTTCTTAGATGCGAAAGATAAACAGCCCTGGTATTTTGTCGCTCCCTCTACACACTCTGCTGAGAAAATCCTTGGTGTGCCTGGAGGGCTGGGTAAAAAAAAAAAAACCCTAAATAGCACCAGGTACCACCAGGTGGCACGCAGTATTCTGATGTTCTAGTCATACATTCAGTGCCTGAAGTAAGAATGCAATGAGCAGGGTTTTCTCAATTGTTTTGCATATTAAAGGAAACCTTTTGCTTAAAAGACGAAGAGGCTTTGCATCAATACAGTCTATTATCAGTGTCATGATAGAGACTGGGTGGACACTATTATTCAATAGCAGACAAAGGCCACAAACGACCCATTTGAAAGCCAGTGGTAGTCACAGCTGAACCTGGTGGGAAATGTTGCTGCTTTGCATACAGTCCCTGCTGTTCAATCACCCTTATCAGGACAGGGCAACAAAAGCAATAGGTGGATTTGTTTCTCCACCCCCAACCCCAGCCAACAAGAGTGGCTAAAGCCTTAGGGCAAATCCATCCAGCATTTGCCCTTTGGACTAAAGCCTCTCTGAAAACTGTTATCCTCCATCAGTAACACTTGTTAAGAAAAAAAAGAGAAAAACAAAATCATTTAAAACTGCCTTTAAGAGCAACTAAACATGAGTGGGAGCAATTTAAAAGAGCCGTTCAATTTACTGTGAGCCACTCAAGTAATTAGATCCTATTACAAGAGTGCAAACACAGGGACACTGCCGGCCTTTTAAAATGACCTGCTGTCCCGTAAAGCCCAGGCTGGGCCCTGCTCAGCACTGGCTTGCTCTTAATGAGATTTCACAACATTAACATTCTACTGAGTCAGCATCAGACACACTGACTACAGCCTTGCTCTGGTGAAACAGCCTGGGCTCTGAGTGTGCATCTTTACTACCGAGTGCAAGTCTCTGTTAAAGTGAGCGTGGGATGGAGGGATTAACCGGACAGATAAAAGTGGAATTCTGCTGGAATCCCTCCAGCAGGTACTGGAGAGACAGTATTCAATTTTTGTCTATGGAGGGAAAGTGTCTCCTAACAGTTTCAATCCATTTTTTTCCACTTATTAAAAAATTATGAGCATTGCAAGTGCTGCTTGAAAATTGGGTTACACACCCTTCTGTTGCGTTTTTATTTCAGCACAGTGCTCTTTCCTGACAATGTTTGTATTGGAAAGTATCCACATCGGTCATCAGAGGCTCTGTCACGTGTCTCACATTTATATTTTACTTGGGACATCCATACAGATATTCTAACCACCATCAAAGCACATTTTAGCATTCTGTATAAGCTTGTGATAATGACGCCATCTATGATTGCCTGACTAGCACAACTGCTCCCTTACGGCAGAAATTGCGATTACTTTCTTGAATATTGTAATTATTTAAAACAAACGTTCTAATACTATATGAACATTATATAAAAGAAAATTTAAAAAAGAAAATAAACAAAGACAAAAAAAAAAAAAAAAAGCCTGAGCCAGTGTCCTTGATGATGATGATCGAGGACACAGGGTCTTTTAACATTGGACATGAGTTGGACACCGACCATAGAGTCCATCTCACAAAGACAACCACCAGTCTCTGCAAGCCTACCATCACCACAGGATGTTTACACAAAGGGACTGACTGCCTCAGGGAGACCAGAAAGCTGACGGCTATCCTGTGTATAAGTGGATCATGAGACACTGAGCGATCTGGAGACAAATGCTGGAGTGGGAGACCGATAATCCCTCCACAGCACACTCTCACCTATGGAAACCCCGAGTTAACCAGAAATATACTGGTTAAACTCAAGGTTAGTAGTAGTAGTATTTATTTATTGTCATTGTCAAGAACAATGAAATTGCGTTTGGGGCTTCCATACAACCCAAAAAAAAACAAAAAAAAACAAAAAAAAAAACAGTATATTTCTGGCAACCAACCGAGTCAAGTCCCTTTTGGCAAAGAGTCACATCACAGAAGATTTCCACTTGTTGGTGCAGACTGACTCAAGTGGATTTAAAGCCCCTTTTCCATTAGTACCTACTCAGATCGACTCACCTTGGATCGCCACAACTCGACTCCGATTGCAACGCGTCTGAGAGTCCCGCAACACTACAACAAAGGTGGACGTCTAGGCAAGAATATACCTGCTGCTCGGTGTGTGAGCTTTTTATCAGACTCAGCGACCACAGCATTGTTTTTTTTTGTTGCATTTTCCCTTGTTGCCAGGTTTAAAATAAAAATTAAAAAAGTGGTTTTTATGAATAAGTCACTCTCATAATTCATCAAGTGACACCACAGGCATGCAGTCTTAAGACATCACATTTTAGTACCTACTTGGATCGCTTGGAAGCCCGGGCGAGCAGGTACTAACAAAAGAACCAGGTACTGTGACCTAATGGAAAAACCTGAAAACCATAGCGAACCATGCCGAGTTGATCCAAGTAGGTCCAATAGAAAAGGGGATTTATTCTTGCCACATCCGCGAGTCCACTAGGGTACAATTTGATCCCTGTGAAGTAAACGAGTATCCGTAAGCACAAGGGTTTGTCCAAACCACATTTTATGTTAAAAACTTTAAAATAAAAGGGAGAGCTATACATGGTGTCTCAAAGGTAACATCCTAGCAGCAAAGAGAGTTTGTTTTTATAAAAAAAAAAAAAAAAAAAACACACACACACACAACAAATATTAAGAATAGATTTCCTGTCCACATCCTGAACAAAAAAGCAGATCGTCTCATTTTTAGAGACATTGGCAGGACGGGGTTTGTAACAGCCGGAGGAGACAGTAAAGCAAAATTTATGCTCTGTTCAAACTGTATATCAGATAACTGGAGACTCCAACTGCTGCACCAAATGACCTTGCCATTTTTAGGGCTCAGTCTTTCAATGTTTGGATCCAGACAAACCTTAGAAAGTTGTCCAAGTGTAACTCGTGGTTCAGACTGTAGAAATATCAGAAATGCTACACCGAAGAATTTATGGTCTTTATGTTATATGCAGATTATTGATGGAAAGCAGTAAATAAGAGCCAGAAAGGGTCTACTGCACCACTTCTGCATACGTCACAACGATCTATGGCTTGCATTAGATGTGGATAAATAAATGGCGGTAGTTGGTACCTTGGTGAACAAAAGACACATTCAGTATAGTCTGAAGGTGGAAAATTCATTTATCTATCACAATCTAAGTGGCATAACCTTATGATCAGTTTATCATAAAGATTTTACAAAACTAGTATGTGATGAGCAATTACGTTGCATTCGTGAACCTCATAGCAACAATTGGTGAGATTCCTATATGGGGGAAATGCACATCCAAAGACCCCACTCACTAAAAGTCAATCCAGATCACTGATCATTAAGTAAGGTCTACTTGAGCAGGTTAAACTATGTCACAGAGGCGGTTTGTTATCACACACATACCCCACAGTCAGTGGGCTCCAATCAGCCATAAAAATCCAGAAGCTGAAGAAATACCAATTCCCTGCTTTTTAAATGCACGAAGTGGCTACTATCTTTTATATGACTGAAGATGACCCATAATATAAACTAAACATAAATCAGAACTCAACTGCTGACTTCTAACGCCATGTTTACATTTATGCATGGTCAAAGTGAGGTGAGCTGACGTCATGATAGCCACAGGGTCGAAATCCAGATGGCTGGAAGTGGAGTGCAGGGGTCATTAGCCCCTCTATTAGGAGAAGATAAGCTTGCCGTTGTACTGTATGGGAAGCTGGTTAACATTCACACCATGTTCAGTGCTGCCTCTGATGGAGCTGTGGAAAGTGCTTGCCTGTTGAAAGATTCTGGCTTTTGTTTATTACACTGTTGACAACTAAAAACACGATCCAACCAACCACCACAATGGTTTGCCTAGCTGCCACATCAGCCAGCTATGCTCTCCATCTTACCATCTGCTGTGGTCCACCCACACAAATCTCCCATAACACTTGATCTGGACAGTAGCCTGACAATACCCTGGAGGGCAAAGCAGATGGTGTGGTTACAGGCTAGGCGTTTAGCCTTGAATAGCAGGCAGGCTTAAGATTAAATGGCCACTGAATGGAGTCAAACAGCCTAGCTGCTATTGGTTGAAACACACTCTGCTACCTACCTTGTTTTGCTCACATGGAAAACAGCCCGTTTCAGGAAAAAGAAGTTCACCAACTAGCGAAATTAAACCAATCAGGCAGCACACATGTGAAAACATCTCAAGACCTCAGGCATTCAGGTGGTGAAAACTGTGCTTATAAACACAAGGAAAACTAGTTTCATGCATGATCCTTTAAAACGGCAAAGAAATAAATAAATAAAATAGTTTGGTGTTGACACATTTTAGTCAACTACAATACAGGTCGATTGACTTAATGCTGCAGCAATGTCATCTTAATGCATCCGGGCACGACTGACTCCCTACGAAGCCATTTAGATAAGTATACCAAGCCTATATACGCCAGCTGAAGCACCAGTCCTAGCTGCTCAACAAGTTAGCCTTAAACATAACAATGACCGACCTGCTCTCAAAAAGCTTATGCCGAAATACTCAGAAAACACCTTTAAGTTTAGTTATTCTTTGTGTCGTCTGTCATCAAGGAGGGGAGCACGAAAACAAGACCGAACATTTAGTGAGTTCGGGAGAACGCTCCCGTCTCCGGGCTGTTCGTGAGAAGAAGGTAACGTCGCTTTCGCGAGCCTGAGAAATCAAACAGGCAAAGTTTGAGTTCGAGGAGTTTTCTGCTTCCCGCAATGCAAAGCGACGAGCGTCCTTTACAGACTCTGTAGTTTCTGACTGATAGAAAAAGAAAAACTAACTTACCACACACAGACCTCCGGCAAGCGCATCCAAAGCTGGAGGGTTTCGAGAAAGCCGACCCGACGAAAGAAAAAACTAAACCACCTCTCACGACGCCAAGTTTCCTCTTTCCTCAGTGAAAACGACTGCTCGGAATTAATACGTAGAATAACATGTAATAGTTACGGTAATGACTTTACGCTAAAGACAAACAAAAACCCACACAGACCTAATCCAACACGGTATACGTCCGTGTTGACGAAGTGAAAGGACGCCTTACGAACAGCGAGCGGCTTTCTTTGTTCCTCCTGCCTGCAGCGGCTGTTCCGCGGATATTATCGCCGTTCATGTGTCCCTGACAGCCGCTGATTGGCTGGAGGGTCGGGATCAAGAAAAGGTGACTAGCGTTAAGCTAGCAGCCCAGCAAAGCGTTTCCGGTCACGACGCCCGAAGAGAAACGCTTCACTTAAAAACGGCATTTTTTTAAAGCGAATTTGTGTCCAGTCTACAGGCACGGCGTTATAAGAACACGCACCGAACGACGTCGTGGAGTGTTTTTGTGAGCTTTTGTTGCCAAATGCTATTTTTTCCCTGAAGGTGTCTACATGTGTGCTTTTATTTTGTGTGTCGGCTTCTCCGCACTTCCTGTTACACTCTCGCTTTTAGAGCTGAGGCAGGGTGGAGACCACTTCATGCCTTACATAGTTTTACGCTGAGCTTAATCACAACGGCTCAGTGCCTTTGCAGTGTATTAACGTGAACTTGGAGCACTGGTTCTACTTTTTGTTAGAGATGGACCGATCCGATATTAAGTATCGGTATCGGTCCGATACTGACCTAAATTACTGGATCGGATATCGGAGAAAAATAAAAAATGTAATCCGATCCATTAAATATCATGAAAGCACCTCACAAAACTTGCAACACGCAGTAACTCACCTCAGAACGTTAGCACGTCGGAGCAGTATGCATCACGTGATAGAGCGGCTGTGGCATGCAGGACCTGTGGTCTGGATAGCATGTGGAGCTTCGCTAGCAACCCGGCATTTAATCTCCGACAAAGTTATCCCGAGAGAAGTAAAGCAAGCGTGTAAGTCCATCTCTGAATGTAAAGCATTCCTGCGTTAAGCTTAACGAGCGACTGCCTCTCGCTCTCCGGCT